GTAATATTTTAAAAGAACAGATTATTGTGAAGCTTTAAAATTTTTTTTTCCCCTGTCATGAGCCACCCCCACCCTCCTTTTCCACTGCCCATTTGCAAAAAAAATGTGGTTTTCATTTTTCATCTCGTTTTCCTCGCTTGAAACAACATTTGGTGTGGGGAGAACTCAAACCTGTTCACTGGTCTACTGCTTCCAGCTTTTTTGAGCTTTATTTGCTCCTTGGTGAGGGACAAGAGAGAGAAGCATTTTTAAAGTTTAATGAAGAAAATATTCATCCAGTGGTCTGATAGGTGGATAGAACAACTTAGGGACAAATTGATTTTGAATGAGTTATTTATTTATATTTTATGAGTTACATGGAGAAGGAGGGATTTTGATGCAAATGCAGGAGGATTTAATATGCAGTGGGAATGGGAGAGCAGGATCAGGTTGGATGAGGAATGTTGCCAGTGACAAATGGCCCACAAGGGTCCCAGTGCCAATGGCACAGTGGGTTTTGTGGCCCACTCTTTCCCACTCTTCCTGTAAAGCTGAAAGCTGGAGTTTGAATTGGCTTCAAAAACGTGGGTTGTCACTTTTAGTTTCATTTTTGGTGTGTTCCTGGGTAATGGTTCAGTACTTTACCCCTTTTTTTTTCCCTCATGGGGAATGTGAAGTAGTCATGACCCTTCATGCAAGGCTGAAGGCTCACATTTGAATTTAGGCTGGGCTTAATTTAAAAATGAATTCTTAAATCAGCTGCTCCCTAAACAGACTTTTCTTTTCTGCTTCTTTCAGTTCCTTGATGACTTAAACAGGTGGAGTCTCCTCCTCATTTCTCCCTTTATTTATCCTGAGAAGTTACTTAATGCAGAACATATAGCCTTTGTGACAGAAAGCATTTCTGCTCAGACAGAGAACTTGCAGAGAGCTCCTGACTCTTCAAAGGAGGTGAGTGGTTCTTCCTGTTTCTTGCACAGAAAGCAGAACAGGTGGGTTGTGATGTTATTAGGAATAAAAAGGTAATCTCTTCGTTAAGATTTATCACTGTTAATGATTTAGTTCTATTTTATGCTTCAAATAGAGCCACAGATTTCTTGATGAGGTTTTTTAGGAGCATGTTTCTCTGGCTGTGGGTGGGAACTGCACCTCTGCTCTGGAGCTGGGCTGGGAAAGCTGGGATTGTTCAGCCTGGAGAAGAGAAGGCTCCAGGGAGACCTTTCCAGTACCTAAAGAGGCTCCAAGAGAGCTGGAGAGGGACTTGGGACAAGGGATGGAGGGACAGGACAAGAGGGAATGGCTTCAAACTGCCAGAGGGCAGGGATAGATGGGATTTTAGGAAGAAATTCTTGGCTGTGAGGGTGGTGAGGCCCTGGCACAGGTTGCCCAGAGAAGCTGTGGCTG